GAGGAATCTTATATTGTAGAACTCAGAAGCATTTTGCAAATTTATATACTGAGTGTTTCATAAAAATGACACAGGCGGACAAGGACTTTTTCTCATTTCACTACCAACTTTCCTACATTATTTATTGAAATCTCTTGATGAAAATTTATAGTTACTAACCAGACGCTTTCTTTGAACATACATATACTGGATGTTCTACATAAAGAATTATCGGTCCAGAGGATTTTGTATATTTCAGAAATTTATTAATGGCAATATTTTTATGAGAAATCTTATATTGTAGAACTCAGAAGCATATTGCAAATTTATATACTGAGTGTTTCATAAAAATGAAACAGGCGGACTAGGACTTTTTTCTCATTTCACTACCCACTGTCCTACATTATTTATTGAAATCTCTCGATGAAAATTTATATAGTTACTAACCAGACGCTTTCTTTGAAAATCCATATACTGGATGTTCTACATAAATTGACACGGGTCAGAATTATCGTCCAGAGGCTTCTGTATATTTCAGAAATTTATTAATGACAATATTTTTATGAAAAATCTTATATTATACACCTCAGAAGCATTTTGCAAATTTATATACTGACTGTTTCCTAAAAATGACACAGGCGGACAAGGATTTTTTTCTCATTTCACTACCTACTTTCCTACATTATTAATTGAAATCTTTTGATGAAAATGTATAGTTACTAACAAGACGCTTTCTTTGAAAATTCATATAGTGGATGTTCTACATAAATTGACCCAGGTCCGAATTATCGGTTCAGAGGCTTCTGTATATTTCAGAAATTTATTGATGGCAATATTTTTATGAAGAATCTTGTATTGTAGAACTCGGAAGCATTTTGCAAATTTATATACTGACTGTTTCTTAAAAATGACACAGGCGGACAAGGATTTTTTTCTCATTTCACTACCCACTTTCCTACATTATTTATTGAAATCTCTTGATGAAAATTTATATAGTTACTAACCAGACGCTTTCTTTGAAAATCCATATACTGGATGTTCTACATAAATTGACACGGGTCAGAATTATCGTCCAGAGGCTTCTGTATATTTCAGAAATTTATTAATGACAATATTTTTATGAAAAATCTTATATTATACACCTCAGAAGCATTTTGCAAATTTATATACTGACTGTTTCCTAAAAATGACACAGGCGGACAAGGATTTTTTTCTCATTTCACTACCTACTTTCCTACATTATTAATTGAAATCTTTTGATGAAAATGTATAGTTACTAACAAGACGCTTTCTTTGAAAATTCATATAGTGGATGTTCTACATAAATTGACCCAGGTCCGAATTATCGGTTCAGAGGCTTCTGTATATTTCAGAAATTTATTGATGGCAATATTTTTATGAAGAATCTTGTATTGTAGAAATCGGAAGCATTTTGCAAATTTATATACTGACTGTTTCTTAAAAATGACACAGGCGGACAAGGATTTTTTTCTCATTTCACTACCCACTTTCCTACATTATTTATTGAAATCTCTTGATGAAAATTTATATAGTTACTAACCAGACGCTTTCATTGAAAATCCATATACTCGATGTTCTACATAAATTGAGCCAGGTGAGAATTATCGGTCCAGAGGCTTCTGTATATTTTAGAAATTTATAGACGGCAATATTTTTATGAAGAATCTTATATTGTAGAACTCAGAAGCAATTTGCAAATGTATATACTGACTGTTTCTTAAAAATGACACAGGCGGACAAGGATTTTTTTCTCATTTCACTACCCACTTTCCTACATTATTAATTGAAATCTCTTGATAAAAATTTATAGTTTTAGTTACTAAGCAGATGCTTTCTTTGAAAATCCATATACTGGATGTTCTACATAAATTGACCCAGGTGAGAATTATCGGTCCAGAGGCTTCTGTATATTTCAGAAATTTATTGATGGCAATATTTTTATGAAGATTCTTATATTGTAGAACTCAGAAGCATTTTTCAAATTTATATACTGACTATTTCCTAAAAATGACACTGGCGGACAAGGATTTTTTTCTCATTTCACTACCTTCTTTCCTACATTATTAATTAAAATCTCTTGATAAAAATTTATAGTTTTAGTTACTAATCAGGCGCTTTTTTTGAAAATCCATATACTGGATGTTCTACATAAATTGACCCAGGTGAGAATTATCGGTCCAGAGGCTTCTGTATATTTCAGAAATTTATTGATGGCAATATTTTTATGAAGATTCTTATATTGTAGAACTCAGAAGCATTTTTCAAATTTATATACTGACTATTTCCTAAAAATGACACTGGCGGACAAGGATTTTTTTCTCATTTCACTACCTTCTTTCCTACATTATTAATTAAAATCTCTTGATAAAAATTTATAGTTTTAGTTACTAATCAGGCGCTTTTTTTGAAAATCCATATACTGGATGTTCTACATAAATTGACCCAGGTGAGAATTATCAGTCCAGAGGCTTCTGTATATTTCAGAAATTTATTGATGACAATATTTTTATGAAAAATCATATCTTAGTAACCAGATGCTTTGTACTAGATGTTTCATAAAGCTGACACAGGTGGAGTAGGCTTCTCTAATCTTTTTACTTTTTTACTTTCTCTACTGACACGTTTTGAAGAAAACTGACCATTTGCTTTTTGGAAAATCCATATACTGAATGTTCCACAAAATTGAGCCAGGTCAGAATTATCGGTCNGATGTTTCATAAAGCTGACACAGGTGGAGTAGGCTTCTCTAATCTTTTTACTTTTTTACTTTCTCTACTGACACGTTTTGAAGAAAACTGACCATTTGCTTTTTGGAAAATCCATATACTGAATGTTCCACAAAATTGAGCCAGGTCAGAATTATCGGTCCAGAGGATTGTGTATATTTCAGAAATTTGTCGATGGCAATATTTTTATGAAAAATCTTATATTGTAGAACTGTGAAGTATTTTGATAATTTATATACTGAGTGTTTCATCAAAATGAAACAGGCGGACTAGGATTTTTTTCGCATTTCACTACCCACTTTCCTACGTTATTTATTGAAGTCTCTTGATGAAAATCTATATAGTTACTAACCAGACGCTTTCTTTGAAAATCCATATACTGGATGTTCTACATAAATTGACCCGGGTCAGAATTATCGTCCAGAGGCTTCTATATATTTCAGAAATTTATTGATGGCAACATTTTTATGACAAATCATATCTTATTATCCAGATGTTTTGTACTGGATGTTTCATAAAGCTGACAAAATTTTCCTTTCTCTTTCAACTTTATTTTTACTTACTGAAAGCTTTTAATGAAAAATTGTATATTTACTAACAAGATACCTTTTTGGAAGTGTATACTGGATGTTCCAAAAAATGATCCACTTCAAAATTAGGAGAAAGTGAAAGTTAACTTATTTTTTCCCATTTCTGCCTTACCTACGTACTGAAGTCTTTGAATGGAAAATTGTATATTTACTAACCATATACTTTTTTGGAAGTTTATACTGGATGTTCCAAAAAATATCCACTTAAAAATCAGGAGACAGTGAAAAACTTAACTTATTTTTTCCCTTTTCTGCCTTACCTACGTACTGGAGTCTTTGATTGAAAAATTGTATATTTACTAACCATATACTTTTTTGGAAGTTTATACTGGATGTTCCAAAAAATGATCAACTTAAAAATCAGGAGACAGTGAAACTTAACTTATTTTTTCCCCATTTCTGCCTTACCTACGTACTGAAGTCTGAATGAAAAATTTGGAAGTTTATACTGGATGTTCCAAAAAATTATCCACTTAAAAATTAGGAGACAGTGAAACTTAACTTATTTTTTTCCCATTTCTGCCTTACCTACGTACTGAAGTCTTTGAATGAAAAATTGTATATTTACTAACCATATACTTTTTTGGAAATTTATACTGGATGTTCGAAAAAATGGTCCACTTAAAAATTAGGAGACAGTGAAACTTATTTTTTTCCTATTTCTGCCTTACCTACGCACTGAAGTCATTGAATAACAAATTGTATATTTATTAACCATATACTTTTTTGAAAGTTCATACTGGATGTTCCAAACAATCATCCACTTAAAAATTAGGAGACAGTGAAACTTGCTTTATTTTTTCCCCATTTGTCCTTACCTACGTACTGAAGTCTTTGAATAAAAAATTGTATATTTACTAACTAGATATCCTTTTGGAAGTTTATACTGGATGTACAAAATGATCTACATCAGAATTGAACCCAAAACAAAAAGGCGGTAGACCAGATATTTTTTTACCCTTTGTACCTTTTCCTACTTTCTTTGGTAAAATTCATTGATGAAAAACTTTGCATTTACCAACACGATGCTATTTTGATAATTTTTATACCGAATGTTCCAACAAAATTGAGCTAGGTCAGAGATGCAGGTGTTCAAATGTATTCATATTCTTTTTATTCCATTCTACTTTATTTTTTTGAGGTCTTTTGATGAACAATTTTATAATATGTTTTTTGAAGCTTTACAGTATACTTCATATTCTATAAAATTGATCCAGGACACACCCCGTCGATTACTCATCATATTTATTTGTTCTACTTTATTTAGTAAAGCCTATTCATAATTTTTTTTTATTTACTAACCAGGTGCCATTTTAAAACTTTCCACACAGAATGTTTCACAAAATCGACCCACATTTGAATGGTGATAATAATGTAGATGGTGGTGATGTAGATGATGTAATTAATGGCAATGTAGATAATGGCGATGTAGACGCTGGTGATGTAGATGATGGTGGTGTAGATGATTGTGATGTAGATTATGGTGGTGTAGATGATGGCGATGTAGATTTTGGTGATGTAGATAATGGTGATGTAGATCATGGCGATGTAAATGATAGTGATGTAGACGATGGTGATTTAGATGTAGATGATGGCGATGTAGATAATAGCGATGTAGATTATGGTGATGTTGATGATAGCGATATGGATGATGGTGATGTAGATGATAGCGATGTAGATGATAGCGATGTAGATGATGGTGATGCAGATGATGGTGATGTAGATGATAGTGCTGGAGATTATAGTGCTGAAGATTATGGTGATGTAGATGATGATGTAGATGATGGTGATGTGGATGATGGTGCTGTAGATGATTATGCTGTAGATGATGGTGATGTAGATGATGGTAACGTGGATGGTGGCGTTGACGATTTAAAAAACATTAGCACAAGACAGTGCTTCGCGAAGCGGAGCCTAGGCGGCCCGCAGCGCCGCTCGAGGGCCGAAGGCCCGAGAGAAACGTCAACTCGGCGAAGCTGACTTGCCTACGTTTCTAGTCAATATATATTAAAATCTGATAGTTCCGTCTGCGTCGCACGATCGCCCCGAAAAAGCGCCGATTTCCAGACTCGAAGGCTTTTCGAGGGAGCCGTGCAGCGGCGAACCGCGGGGGGCCAAGCCCCCCGCCTGCCTTCCTCCGTCCGAACGTCGTATTTTGATGGCGATTTTTTGCCGTCTTCGAGGTGAATTTTGAGTTCTCTTCGGGCTCTGCGAGGGGCGGGGCCCAATTTTTGTGTGAAAAGCGATAGTCCGACACGCCCTCCCGCTGAAATCTGACGGTCGCCGATCGCCCCGAATCGCGCGCGGGTACGGCTTTTTTATTTTCTATTTCCCCTTATTTCTACGTTATTTTATTTAAAACAGTGTCCAAAATACTCATATTTATCGACCGGGTTCCTTCTTCCAACTTTTTATGTACAACTTTCCGCGAAATCAAACGCGGGATTCGAAATGCGGCCGTAAATACGTTAAAATGCACTGTCTAGGAAGGCCGAAAAATGTGATATTTGCGCCACAAAATTCCTTCTCCGCGAGTCTCGAAACGGCGTGCTACTTGGCACAGATACTCAGTCGTTCCTCCTTAGTCGTTCGGGGGCATTTTTGTGACGTTTTTTCGCGTTTTCATACATAATTTTGCCTCTTTTTGGGGTCCCCTCGACGACAGACGACCATTTCACAAGCCGTAAAGATTGAAGCTTTAAGACACGCCCACTCGGAGAAAATTCGAATGTCGTTAGAAACGTCAGATTAATTATGTCAAAATAATTTCACGCCAAATGCGAAAGACGTCTGTGGGGTCGCGGCGAACTGTTATTTTACCTTACTAGGCCTTTTTTTAACCTTAATACATTGCTATGCCACGACATATACAGGTATTTCTTATTATTAGGTTAGGTTGTTATTTACATTTTCTAGCTCTACCGTTTGATATGCCTACGATTACGATATCTGTTCCCCGAATTAACGTAAGTACTTGCCCTCTAAAACTGCATAATTTTAAACCAATCCATAGTACCTAAACCCTTCAACCTTTGTATTAGTACAATTTGCTTCGTTAATTACTATTTTGCATTCGTATCTTTCGCGAGACGACTTTGTGTTAGAAAAAAGCAAATTTAACATTACAAAAATTGTTGATTACTTCAGCTGTGAACGACGACACTACGCGCTTACTCTCAAACCAGATTGGAAAACTAGCATTTTAGCGGACGGGCTGGGTTTCTCCGCGAGATCTGAAGCGGCATACGCCTCATCTCCCTTCGTCGCTTAATGAAATATTTGCAACTTTATATTCGCGTTTTCAAATGTACCAACGGCCACTTTATAAGCGAAATGGAGATTCAAAGAATCTCGAACGCAAATCGACGAAAATCTAAAAATCACGAAGAATGTCAGATAGAAACGTCAAAATAAATTTCACTATATTTGACGTTTCCAATTGAGGTTAGAAAATCACAACGAACCATAGACCGATGGAAGGAAAATACTAATTGATATTTGACGTATTCCGTAAGTAATTTAGGTTAGGAAACCAGACGGGACCATAGAACTTATAAACTACTGGATTCGCCCAACTGTCATTTTGCCAATATAAACGGCAATGGCATAGACGTGTGTGAGAGAGATAGAGCTGGTGCGGGCTAATGCTTCGTTCTTAAAACTTCAAGTATCGCGCGAATTAAATTGAATTTCTCTTCTTTTAACAATACATATTTGTACGACTAATTTTAATTAATTATTATTAACGAATAAGAGCATAAGCACTCTTTGTTTATATAGAATTTTTGTACAAATTGGAGGTATTAAAGGGGGAATGTAATAATATTTTTTTTTAAATCTTTTCATGAAAAGTTATATAGTTGCTAACCAAAGGGTTTTTTGAAAATCCATATACTGCATGTTCTACATAACTGACCCAAGTCAAAATTATCGGTCTAGAGACTTCTGTATATTTCAGAAATTTATTGTCGCAATATTTTTATAAAAAATCTTATATTGTAGAACTCAGAGTCATTTTGCAAATTTATATACTGAGTGTTTCATAAAAATGACACAGGCGGACTAGGATTTTTTTCTCATTTCACTACCTACCTAAATTTTCAAATAGATATTTCTACACACGGTGTCAAATGTTTCTTGCAATTTATGTACAGGATGTTTCATAAAACTGACACAGATGGACCAGATTTTCTCTGATTCATTTTGTTAATTTTTTCATGAAATCTTTTGAAGTTGTATATTTACTGACCAGCCGCTTTTTAGAAAATCCATATATGTACTGGGTGTTCCATAAAATTGATCCATATCTGAAACGGTCAATTTTTATCCTTTTCACTTTTAACTTTGTCTTTATTTACTAAAGTCTTTTAATGAAAAATTGTATACTTATTAACCAGTTGTCTTTTTGAATTTTTATACTGAGTATTTATGACCAATAGAACGAAACATTCCTTAATGTTTTTTCCTTTTCTATATTTTGTACTGAAGTCTGCAATATTTTTATGAAAAACCCGACTAACCAGGTGTTTTTTGCAATTCATGTACAGGATGTTTCATAGAACTGACACAGGTTTGTTCCTTTTCACTTTTAACTTTGTCTTTATTTACTAAAGTCTTTTAATGAAAAATTGTATACTTATTAACCAGTTGTCTTTTTGAATTTTTATACTGAGTATTTATGACCAATAGAACGAAACATTCCTTAATGTTTTTTCCTTTTCTATATTTTGTACTGAAGTCTGCAATATTTTTATGAAAAACCCGACTAACCAGGTGTTTTTTGCAATTCATGTACAGGATGTTTCATAGAACTGACACAGGTTTGTTCCTTTTCACTTTTAACTTTGTCTTTATTTACTAAAGTCTTTTAATGAAAAATTGTATACTTATTAACCAGTTGTCTTTTTGAATTTTTATACTGAGTATTCTACAATTCTGATGCAGATTAAAATTACGAATAGAATGTTTTTTCCTTTTCTATATTTTGTACTGAAGTCGACAATATTTTTATGAAAAACCTTATATTCTACTAACCAGGTGTTTCTTGCAATTTATGTACAGGATGTTTCATAAAACTGACACAGATGGACCAGATTTTCTCTGATTCATTTTGTTAATTTTTTCATGAAATCTTTTGAAGTTGTATATTTACTGACCAGCCGCTTTTTAGAAAATCCATATATGTACTGGGTGTTCCATAAAATTGATCCATATCTGAAACGGTCAATTTTTATCCTTTTCACTTTTAACTTTGTCTTTATTTACTAAAGTCTTTTAATGAAAAATTGTATACTTATTAACCAGTTGTCTTTTTGAATTTTTATACTGAGTATTTATGACCAATAGAACGAAACATTCCTTAATGTTTTTTCCTTTTCTATATTTTGTACTGAAGTCTGCAATATTTTTATGAAAAACACGACTAACCAGGTGTTTCGTGCAATTTATGTACAGGATGTTCCATAAAACTGATACAGGTGTACCAGATTTTCCCTTATTCATTTTGTTAATTTTTTCTTTAAATCTTTTGAAGAAAAGTCGCTTTTTTAAAAATCCATATAATAGATGTTCTATAGAATTAAGCAGGTTTATTTCTTTTCACTTTTAGCTTTGTCTATTTACTACAGTCTTTTAATGAAAATTTGTATATTTATCAAGCAGATGTCTTAATTTTATTTTTTACCATTTCTGCCTTACCTACGTAGTCTTTGGATAAAAAAATTTATATTTACTAACCAGATGCCTTTTCGGAAGTTTGCAAGAAACTTTTCTTATTCTACGGGGCCTACTCTTTTTTGAAAAACATTCTCCTCATACTTTTATATACAGTGCGTTTAAAAATCAAAGAATATTTACTAACCAGCGAGGAAAGCACCGCGGAGCGGTGCTCGGGCTGAAGGCCCGAGAGAAAGGTCAAACTCCGTGTCAGCGGAGTTTGCCTGCCTTTCTAGACAACCCTTTAAAATGCTTAAATAGATGCTTTAATTGAACTCTACTTACTATCGATTAGTGCTATTGGTACACTCACACCGTATACCAAATTTGGTTTTTCTAAGTTCAAGTACACCAGGCACAGAAGTTAAGGGATATTAAAAAGATCCCAAAATTTTGGGCGATTTTCAAATAGCTTTAATTTGGAGGGAAGAAATGATCGTAGAGAGAATAAAAAATAGGAAATTGAAGCTTCAAGTGTCTAGTTTTCGGGTCTGGAGATTTTTAGCATCAGCAGTTTTTGAGTAATCATAAGAAAATCAACGAAAGAATGTAAAGTTTTGCTTTTCTTTAAAAATGCCTATGAATTTAAAAAAATTTTTTTGGTAATTTCACTATAAATCTCTTAGATAATTTAATTCTCCCCAATTTGAGCGATTCCGAAGCCTTGTACGATGATTTGTCGCTGAGTTGTGGTCACAGCAAAAAAACATTTTTGACTTTGTGCAAAACCGTACTTATCTTATCAACTTCCACGTCACCTGCTACATGGGTGTTGTATAACAATGAAAAAGTAATATTAACGGTCGATAGAAGGAAGCACAAAAAACAAGCACTTAGGTAGGAAATTCTGGAAGGAAGCCTAAATAGTTAGTTGAAGATAGGCAGTTGAAGTGCGAACAGTGAGACGATCGGCGGGCAGTGTGACAAAGTAGTGTAAAATTAATTGTTTAAAGTGATATTAGTTAGCAGGTAATATTCTTTTAGTACTTTGTTGTTAATTGTTCTATGTAATCTTGTGATTGTGATGTTTATAGATGTTTCATGATAATAATTCTTTGTATGTTTAGCTTCCATTGCTTTATGCTCAAGGGCATATATTTTTCTAAGGTAAAATTGTTATAATTATACTTAAAGATTGCCCAATATTTATTTCATGTTAAAAATATATATATGGTCCTGATTGCCAGACATTACAATAACGACTTCTTTGTTTCACATCTAACTTGTTTTTGTCATGATTACATTATACGTAAAATATAGATGTT